TATCTTTTTTAGCACATGTCCCTACACAGCCACACTGTAGCCAGTTGTTCACTTGCATGCACAAAACTGTTGGAATGTCACAAGACTTTGGAACACAGCCCACCATTTCACCTCAGAGTTCAAACTTGTTTTTTCTGAATAATAATACTCAAAGGAAAATGTTGTTTCCCTCTGACAGATCTCTTTGAAATATTTGTTCCTTACCTCCTTACTAGACTCATTCTCTTTTACTAGATGACATTACCAGCACTCCTGGCAGTTGATGGAGGCAGGGTAAGATATTGGTCAGCATTCTGGGGCTTCTAACTATGCCCCAAAGTCCCTATGTAGTTCACAAATTTAAATCAATCTTGTTGCTGTTGTTAGGTGCCAACGAGTCAGTACCAACCCGGAGTGACCCTATGCACAGCAGAACGAAACACTGCTCGATCCTGGGCCAACCTCACCATCATTGCCACACTTGAATCCATTGATGCTGCCACTTGGCCACACCATCTTGTCGGGGGAGGGGGGTCTTCCTCTTTTTCTCTGACCCTCCACCTTACCAAATATGATATCCTTCTCCAGTGACTGGTCCTTCCTAACAATATGTCTGAAGTATGAGAGATGAAATTTGGTCATCTTGGCCTCCAAAGAGCACTCTGGCTGCACTTCTTCCAACACGGATTTCTTGGTTCTTTTGGCAGCCAATGGCACTTTCAACATTCTCTTCCAACACCATAACTCAAAAGTATCAATTTTTCTACGGTCTTCCTTATTCACTGCCCAGCTTTCGCATGCATATGAGGTTATTGAAACCACCATGGCTCGGGTCAGACGCAACTTAGTCCTCAAGCTGACATCTTTGCTCTTCAACACTTTAAAAAGGTCTTGTGCAGCACATTTGCCTAGTGCAATACGTCGTTTGATTTCTTGACTGCTGCTTCCATGAGTGTTGATAGTTAATCCAAGAAGAATGAAGTCCTGCGTGACAACTTCAATCTTTTCTCCTGTGATAAGAATGTTGTTTATTGGTCCAGTGGTGAGGATTTTTGTTTTCTTTACATTGAGATATATTCCGTACCAAAAGCTGTTCTCTTT